CTCAGGATCCGTTCCTATTTAGTGGTTCAATAAGGGATAATCTGGACCCTCGAAGTCAATACACCGATAATGAGATCTGGCATTCGCTCAAAGAATGTCATTTGGAGTCTTTAGGTATACTATTGGCCGCAATCAGCGAATAATACTTAATCCGTGAAATTTATTTAGTCTTAAGTCTCGGAGGTTTGAGTGCAAACATAAGGGAAAGGGGAGGAGACCTGAGTTGTGGCCAAAGACAACTTCTCTGTTTGGTGAGAGCTTTGCTCACTAAGACATCAGTACTTTGTGTCGATGAGGCGACCGCTAGTATTGATGCCAACACTGAACAACTGATTCAACAGACGCTGACAAATGTGTTCAGTTCTGCGACCGTTTTGTTTATCGCCCATAAGATTGAATCGGTTCTCAATTGTCACCGAATTATTGTTATGAACGGCGGAAGGATTGCCGAAATGGGTTCACCCGATGACCTCATGAGGAACTCTGACTCTATATTTTATAATCTTTATAATCGATGAAACATTTTTATATCATAAACAAATCTGAACTCAATTTTTGCACTATTTTTGTGTTTTAATTTAATTAACGAACAAATTTATAAGTATTCGTGTAATTTATATTTTTAGTAAATAAATTTATATAAATTATAAAATTCAAGTTTAATTTAATGATACAATAGATATAAACTTATGAAAATAAAATTAATATAATTGTTAAAATACACTGAAAACTAATCAAATTGTTGTTAAATAAAAACTATATGTTTATGCAGTTATTATCTAATGATTTATTAAATGTTTTAATTGTAACTAAATTTTGTTTTCTATAAATTGTCAGATAATAAACAAAAATTAACTGAAGAGAGAATATTTTAAACTAATTTATGAGAATTTGATTCTTGAATATTTAGCTCAAGAATTATCTTCCGTTTGCCTGACATTTAAAAGATTAATCTTATTTTTCACATTTGGTTTGAATTAAACTAAATGTTGGTAACGAGATGTGCCACACATCTCATTGTTATGCTATTTATGGTAAAGAATTGTATGACAAGATGTTGCCAATAATGCATATATTATAATATTAAAGCATATTATTATCGATTCATATTTAGTATCCGATCTTTTGATGCATTGCTTATATAAGTTATATTAATATTTGAATATTTGTCTTAAAACTATTAGCCAAAAAAGCTGTTCACTTTCTAATGGAGTTGTATTGCATTTTTGCAATCATTTACACAAATATTTATAATTTAATCATAAATTGATGGAAAGATAAACAATCAAAGACTGGATTCCAGTCATCACTGATTTATTTGTGTTTTAAAAGTCAATTCATTAGCTTTTGGTTGTAAAGCATTATAATATATAAATCTTTTACACAACCCGTCATTTCAATCAAAATATTCTGAGACCCAAAAACCCCACGTTTTCTTACAATTCATATACACTCTTCTCACTCACTCTTCCCTTTACTTTAAACAAAACACGACTTTTGCTATTAATGTCTCACTTTGTCTCATGAAATCCCACATAAACTAAACAATCGGTTGTCGTTTAAAGAAATAATATAAGGAATCAAATATTTTTTTGTTTAATAAATTTGGTAAATAAAAATATGTAGTTAATTAAATTTTAGTTTTTACATAACATTATATAAAATGCTGTATAATTTATTTCATTCTTAAAACTATTGCTAACATCTGTTTCAGCATTTGAAACAATATATTGAAAAAATAGTCAATAATGACAACCGATATCGCATTAAAGTAAAGTTATAACTGTATATACTGTATAATAATATAAAGCTTCAAGAATGAGATGTAAGCGTATAATAGATTATTAAATTTAATATATGGTGAAGAAAATATAAGATTGTGTTTATATAATGAAATATTTGTTAAGTTAATTGATTTATGAAATTTATTGTCACTCAACTAAAAGTAATTCAATAAATACTTTACAATCAATCAATTATTATGTTGAGGAATGTTCTCCATATTTCATGATTCACACCCCGTATACCCTGTATAAGAAGCTACAGTAAGAGCTATGTATTAGCACTACATGTGCTGTTTGTGTGATATTAAAGCAAAATTTTGAGGAGAAAAAATCGAAATAAGATCAATATCTACGACAATATAGTGGTGAGGAAGTGAGGCATACATAAAGGTTATCTCAGGCCTAACTTATCTGCAATTTAATGATATCACGTACGAGTGCTTCATATGATTATGTTTGCATGAATGCAGTCTCCAATCATAATATATACAATACTTTTCTCACTTAAAACGTTAATTGTTTAAAAGTAAATGTTTTTATCTCAACAATAAGAACAACACTTAAAACAATATTTTAATATATAAATCCATTAAAACGTAAGAATAAAATCTCCCATTTGTGCCAAATATTGCTTTTCCATATGATTTCATGAATTATGCGATCAATTAATACATTTAAGAATATTTTTAACAAAACATATAATTATTATTTGATATATTAATATCTTTTAAATTAAATCTAAAAGCTTTTAGACGAGAATATTAAGTAATTTATTCATAATATTAATTATTTGTTTATTAAATTATTCTGTTTTTCATATAATTTCATATATAATATTCATAACTTAAGAATTTTGATTAAATTTTTGAGTTTTTCAATTTTATTACTAGAACTTAATA